ACACACACACACACACACACACACACACACACACACACACACAACCCTGTGGCTCCCTGTCCATTTTTCAGGCAACTCCACAAGAGTCTCCTCCCCTCCAGCAATTGTTCACTGCTGTATAACCCTAAGGGGACACTTTGTGAATCTTGTCAGTTTCTTGTGCACTTCTGTAACTCTCTTGGAACTTAGGTGAGCCTCCCTCCTTCCCCACATGGGATATTTCAGTCAGGAAGAAACAGCCAGCCAGTGCCAGCCCACAGGTGGGGAGGGCGGGCCAGTGCTGGAGTGCAGCAACAGCACAGAGAGAGCACTAGCCGCCCATGAGGAGCCTCTGACGCGTCCTCTGGTTGCCCAGCTCCCCTTTCTCCTCCCATCCTCTGTGCAACCACATCTCAGAAGAAAAGAAAAACTGCCACCAGCGCTAGAGAGACGGCCCAGTGTTTAAGAGCACTTGTTTCAGGCAGTGATGGCGCACGCCTTTAATCCCAGCACTCGGGAGGCAGAGGCAGGCGGATCTCTGTGAGTTCGAGGCCAGCCTGGTCTACAGAGCAAGATCCAGGACAGTCACCAAAGCTACACACAGAGAAACCCTGTCTCAAAAACAAACAAACAAACAAAAGAGCACTTGTTTTTCTCCAGCAGAACCTAAGTTTGGTTTCCAATACCCATGTCAGGCAGCTCACATGCATCTATAACTCCAGCTCCAGGGGATCTGACACCTCTTTCTGTCCTCCACAGGTAACTGCACACATGTGCACACACACAGTGACACACATGCATACAAATAAAATAAATCATTTTAAAATACCCACTGCACTGTATGAACTGTGCCCTGTGGCTAAAACAGACATAAAAGTACTTGTCTTACGGGGGACGTGTATCACCTTCAAATGACACCAGGTGTCAGTTTGCTCAGGCCATGGTGACAAAGTACTTCAGATGGAGCAGCTTATTCAACACATTTATTTCCTTACACTCGATGTCTCAATAAATTTTATCAAGGATGAGCAAAACAAGACCCAAGTTATGTTTGTCACTTTGTGGGCACATTAGCCCACAGACTGGGGAAATCATAAAGAGGCTCACAGTTGCAGACCCAAGTGGATGGATGTGTCTAGTGATGGCCTTCTCACTAACAATAGCCACAGACTACATAAGACAAGGAGATCCAAAAGACAAGGCTATATTTTTTTATATTTTATTTTATTTATATTTGTATACTCATAGGCATATTGCTTCCCATGGAGATACCCAGAAAAGGGTGTTGGACTCCCTGGAGCTGGAAGTCACAGGTGGTAATGAACTGCCTTATGTGGATGTTGGGAACCAAACTCTGGTCCTATTCAAGAGTAATATCCTAGTTTGCTTTCTATTGCTGTGATAAAACACTGACAAAAACCAGCTGGTGGAGGAACGGGTTTATTTGGCTTAGAGATTACAGTCCAAATGAAGGGAAGCCTGGACAGGAACCTAGGAAGTAGAAACTGAAGCAGAGACCATGGAGGAATGTGTTTACTAACTTAATTTGCTCTCTTATACAACCTTCCAAGGGGTGGCATGAGCCACAGTGGGCAGGACCTCCCATATCAACCATTAATCAAGAAAACACTCCCATAGACTCACCTACAGGCCAATCTGAAAAGACATCTCAATTGAGGTTTCATCTCCTCAGAAGAATCTAGCTTGTGTTAAGCTGACAAAACCTAATCAGCATAATATATAGCTCCAAGGAAACCACTACAGTGACCTATTTCCTCATCTAGGACTTTTCCACTTTCTACCATGTCCCAATAATGCTATCATATTATGAATCCATGGAGGAAGTCATCCCATCATGATCTGTCTCTGGAAAAATCTTCATAGACATACCTAGAGGGGTCTTCACTAACCTCCTATGCAATAAAGATGACAATCAAGATTAACCATCACCCTAAAGGAAGAATATGAGTGAGCTGGTTGGGGAACAACATGATCAGGAAAATTAGGAGAATACGCAAAAAAAGAACAGACAATGTGATTGTTCTTCTTGGTTGTCCAACTTGACTACACCTGGAATTAACTAAAACCCAAACCCAAGTCGCTGGATACACTTATGAGAAATTTTTTTTGTTTGAATTACTTGAACTTGAAGAATCACATTTAATTTGGACTACAGCCTCTGGTGGCAGCCTATATAAAGGACATAAAAGAAGGAATCTCCTCCCCCCCCCCCTCTCTGCTTGTCCTCACTCTCATCTGGCAAGTCCATTCCTTCACTGGCATTAGAACCTAGTTCAGGATTTCAACATATACTGAAGACCAGCTGAGACATCTAGCCTCAGGGACTGAACAACTACTGGATTCTTGGACTTTCTGGTAGACAGCCATTGTTGGAATAACTGGACAATAGTCTGTAAGCCACTCTAATAAAGCCTCTCCAGCCAGCAGATCACACAGGGAGGAAGGATGTGGGAGGACAAAGATAGTCAGTCACTCAGAACATGAGCCTGCAGGGGACATTTCTCACTCAAACCCTTAATAGCCCTACTCCAATATGACTAGTGTCCTTATAAGCGATCAGGTCACACAGGCACACATATGGAACACCATGTAACATCCCAAGAAGGAGACTGCTACCTACAGGCCAAGAAAAAAGTGCTCTCCAAGGAAACCAACTCTTTTTTTATTATATATATATATATATATATATATATATATA